TGCAGCACATTAGAGCGAGGTAATGAAATCCTTAGTGTAATCTTAACCTATGCTATATTTAACCTTTTTGGGGCTATGATAGGTTCTGATCTCTGAGGCGATAACTAAGATGATCGTGCACGATCTACAGCCGGTGTCCATAGTGGAAAATCAAGGCTTCAGAGAGTTACTGCAGCTTCTGGAGCCCCGTTATACCCCTGAGCCCCAGCATTACATCCGGGGACAGCTTCTTCCTGCTTATGCCTATCAGGCTCAGCTGGCTACGCGTCAGGCCATAGCATCGGCACACGCCCTTAGTCTCAGTTTGGATCTCTGGAGGAGCCAAACTCAAACTGCATCAGGGTGAGTTGATGAAACAAGCTGTAAACATACAAGACAGCAACATGGTTAGATTCCCCAACTGAGTGGTATTTGATTTCTCTCTCGTTCTTTTTAGTTACCTTGGTGTCACCTGCCATTATCTTGCATCTGACTGGCAGATCCGTTCAGCTCTCCTGGCCTGCCTCCCACTGACTTGCAGCAGCTCTGTGAGACGTGTCCTTGCAGATTTTGATGAAGTGTGTCACTCTCATAGTGTGTCAGGGAGAGCATTTTGTGTCGTTGCAGACCCTTTTCCAGCAACAACAACAGTGAGACCGTGTTGTCTTCCTGGGTTCCTGGTTCCTCCTCTTCTTAGTAATAGACAAGATGACAATCTTACAGATCAAGGGCTGGAAAACGGTAGCAATGCAGAGCAATGGATCAGTAACGGCCATGCATGTAATGGAGAGGATGAAGATTGGGGAGAGTCGTGGGAGCAGGGTTTGGGTGTTTGCCGAGTAGACTGCTTCTCTCGCTCCCTAGAACAATGTGTCAGAGAAGGGCTGTGCTCCTCCCCACAAATCTCCTCTACTCTGAGCAAGGTTGCACGTTTTTATAACTACATTACATCTGCCGTACCTCCTGAGAAGCTCATGCAGGTGTTTGAAGGGTGGATGCCTGGAGGAAGCCAGGACATTCAGGATACTTCTACGGATTGGGCTGCTCAACATAAGGCAAGAAATTATGTTATGTGATTCATATTTTTAAACTTTATTTATTTTAATGCAGGAAAAAAAAATCATGCACAACAGCAATACACTTCTCAGAGTATTTCAAGGAGGATGCTAACTGGTTTAAATTCAAGTACGATTGTAGACAATCCAATTAAACCACAATCCAATCTTGTCGAGTCCAGTCCAATTCAGTTCCATCCAATCTAATTAAGATCATTCTTTCACTTTAATCCAATTCCATATAATTTAATTTGTACAATGGAAAGTCGTAAACGGTCTAAATAAAGAAAACCAGTGGATTGTATTGAATCTTTAATTCGATTTCATTCCCCATCCTCAGACATCACAGAACAGGCAGTGGCGGAAAGCAAAAACCTGCTTGTGGCAATATGAGACACTAGCAAAAACCAGACTTGGAGACAGTAAAATCTTCAAGCTTGATCTTTAAAGAAAGAAAGATGTTTGGCTATCAGAGTAACATAACATACCATATTTGTATGTAAAAATGTCATAAGAGTTTTTAAAGTCAATAAATGGTGCACACCTACACTTTTATTTGACATAAGTAGTTGCGTAAAAGAATACAGTAGAATTAAAATACGTATCCTTGTATAATAAAACATTGATTTGTACTCCTATAGCTGTTTAATTTCTGCTCTTTTTTTTTAAACTAAAGGTCCTTCGGCGGCTGTTGGACTCAGTAGAGTTCCTGGAGGAGATTAGCGGTCCTGGGGAGATGTCACTGAGTGGTTCTGAAAGAGCCCTGTTGAGGGAGCTTGTTGACATTTTGGAGCCCTTCACTGAGGCCTGGGACATGGTACATGGAGACGCACAGAAGGACACGCAGCCAGACAGACATGTGTCCATCAGTTTGGCTCTGCCTTGTGTTCTTGGTCTGCGTAAGCATCTCTCTGAGACATCAACTCCCCATTGCCCTGCCCTGCTGCTCGGCCTGAGCCAGTCACTAGAGCGCATTCTGGCTCCAATCCTGGAAAACCCCCTCTACATTACTGCAACCACTCTGGATCCCCAGTTTAAACTTACATGGAGCAGCAATCCTGAGTGGCACAAGCAAGTTCTTATAGGGGAGTTGTCTAAACATACCAGAGCCTCCCCCCAACCTGATCTCAACACAGACCTTAACTCTCAGTCCCAAACCATTCCTACTCCCGCACAATCTCCAGTCTCCTCGCTTTCTCGGCCCTGCAAACTGTTCTCTTTTATCAAGCAAAGACCTGCAACACAGGCTAAAAGCCTGGAACAGGAGTTATGTGTCTATCTTCGAGAGGAGCCAACAGATGAAGAGGCTCTGCATTACTGGCGCCGTAAAGCCATAGACTTTCCACTGCTAGCTCAAGTAGCCAAAAGAGCATTCACTATACCTGCTCGGGACACTGTGGTGGAAAATATCTTCTCCACGGCCAGGCGTTTCCTGTTGCCAGAAAGAGGCCACATCCTACCAAAGAACTTGGAGACACTCATCTACCTCAAAGCCAACTACAAATTATTGTGGACTTAAAATTATGAGTCAGGCATCTTTTATCTAAACGGCAGTTTCCAGTTTTAGTAAGGTGACCCTGTTGCTGTGAAGAAACCGGAGCTAGCAACAAAACATACAGCCTGTTATTAAGAGACTGAAAGTACAACCATTTTCTCTCTTGAGTTTGGTTTTAGATGTGGGTATGGGTCTTTACTCTGAGCTGCTGGCTGTACTGCCTGGGATCAAATCAAGACTAAGACGTTCACCCTGATTTTATTTTGAAATTTCAGGATCTTGAGACTGCCACAGGGCTACTCTTTGTTTCCAACCTTTTCTTAGTGAAGCATCTGTTTAATGTATGCTTACAGTCATGAGAGAAAAATAAATCACTGTCCATAAAGTCATGGTAACCAATAGGTGCACACTGTGAACCAATGGCATGTAGAACTAACTTTAACAGGTACAGTATAAAAGGTTTTCTATAAAATTTCACTTTATCATCGCTTTCACTCATGAAGATTTTAAGATATTTGTTTTATTGGCTCCTTGCATTAGATTTCAACTGGTTTGAACCATTAAAACATTTTTTAAGTCTTTAGTCCTTTTTTGAAAAGTTGGCTGCTGTGCTTTGAGTCGTTTCCCTGCTGCATTATCCAATTCTATGCAGTGGATTTTGTGGTCAGATCAGTAACTGCGAGGTGCTCAGTCTCTGTGTTTGCAAACAACATGCCCAAATCACCATGATGAGTCTGAATTATTGCATTCCAGGTGCGAAAGATCTTTCTTCCTTTTAAAATAATAGACTTTCATGTATTTATGAACAGTTGGGGAACTATTCTGAGAATGATGGGCAGCATTGATTGCTTCTTGAAATTCTTTGCTGGCCATTAAAGCTACTTTGGTGTGGGAAATTAAATTAACTTAAAATGAAATATATAAATGCTTGTGATTACAAACAAATTGGTGCTAATTTCCCACTAACAACCCATAAAAGGAGCAAGGATATGCATCTTTTCCCATGATTATATTGACAGTAATAGAAAGTTTCTGTTTTCCCATGTATGTAGATATTTAGCCTAATACCAGTAATTACGTATTGTCATCTGAGAAGCATCACGTCTACTCATCGCTTCATTCTTTCCCCCACTGACTGTACGCCGCCTCGCTACCTGGACATAAGAATAAATTGATTTCAGTTTCTAACTCTGAAGTTGTTTCTCTAAACATACCTGGGAATGAAAGGCTTTAAATATCTCCACCTTGATTTAGGTCACAGCAATACTCTAAAACTGCTTCAAAAAACACTAAATGTAGCTTCATGTTTATAAGCACAAATAAAATGGTTCTTAAATTATAACAAGGACTGAAATCAGGCCACATGCAGAAACAGCTTTGTTTCAGGGCCGCTGTATTTGTGAATTTCAGTGAATTCCTTCATAGATATCTCTTATCAGAGGTTGCTGTGATCCTAATGATTATGACCATACATTGCCTCTGCAGATTAAGACACAGCCATCAAGATATCTGCATAGACGTGTCATGGCGTTCATCTGGGAAATTTGTTTTATGCTCGCTCTCTGGGCGTGTCGTTGTTGTTTGTGAGCATATCTGGAGCAGCTTGAAGCATCTCTCCCGCTCCCTTGCTCTCTCCCCGCGGCTCTGACAGCTCATCTATTTGAGTTAGACAGCCGGGCCGGGATGCGGCCCTATTGGTAATTGCCTCAGAAATGAATTACTTGGCAAACAGCGAGACAGAAGGGAGGGAAGGAAATTGTAATTGAACTGCCCCCGCCTTACTTTGTCCCCTCCTGCCTCTCCTTCTTGCTTCAGGTTATTACATCTGCAGTGCAGGGAGACATTTTCCATCAGCACAACTATGCACACCCTCACAAAACCCATTTGTCCCCTCCCCCACACACAATGGCCTCAGCAGCATACTGTATTGATGTGGGGTGATTTAAGAGATTGATTGCACAGGCACATACACACAGAGCCACTCTGCATCCATGCAGTCTTATTTATAGCATGGAGGGATTAATACAGTTTTAAACATTTTGCTTGTCCAGATACTCTCCTGTAGTCAGTGCTCTTTAGATGGCCTAAATAATGGCTGATGCACTGCAGGATTTCAGAGTCTGAAGAGAGAAAAAGGGTACTCAGTATTGAAATAGCCTGGTCACTCCATGTATGCAGCCAAGCAGCGTTATTTATAACGTGCCTGTTGCCTGCCTGTTGACAGATAGAAAGTCTGACGGATTAAAGAAGGAACAGTGTTTACGTGTGTTTATTATTTTGCTTTGGCAACTGGTTGAAAGGTGGCAGAAAAAAAACAATTTTTTTTCCTACCATACGAACCTTTACACTCAGTCATGATCTGTCCCTTGGCCTTTTCATAGGCAGGTCATGGGAAAGGGGGAGGAGAGGGCTTAGGTAACTGAGCTGCCAGCACCAAGCAAGACATGCACATGTTTGACTCCTAACTCAGCACACAATGGGGTCTATTTCTGTAGTCGCTCAAGGGTTATCACCCCACTTGCTCTGACTCTCTCCCCCCATCTATTTCTGTCGACCCGTCTCGTTTCCCAACTCTCTAACCCACTTCCACAACATCATGGCCGACAGAACCAACCGATTAGGTGTTCGTAGGAAGGAGAAAACGCAGGAAACCAAAGCAAATGAGGAAAAGGACAAGGAGAAGGTCAAAGAGAAGGCTGTAAAAAACACAGACAAAGTTGCTAAAAAGTTAGAGAAGACCCCAGAGCCACACAAGACAGATGAGAAGAAGACTAACGGGGAAAGTGAAGGAGCAGCAGGAGCAGACGCAAATAACAGTGAGGATAATGGAGACTTCCAGCCCATAGAGCTGCCTCCTTTTGAAATTGTCACTGGGTGAGTAAAATTTATAAGGGACGCTAAAAAAAAAATCCAGCTTGATTTTTTTTGTAGTCTATATTTTGATTGCCAGTTAAGAAACAGGAATTGTAACTCAAGTATAGGAATGGCTTACAAATGCTGTTTCTTAACTTCCAGTAAAAATAGAGATGAGTCACTCAAACACCAGGCTGGACTTCTCATTGTATGTAGCATCAGCTCCCCAAGTCTCTGATGTTTGAGATGTTTTATTATCAAAGCTGTTGGAGATCTGTATGAATCCATCCAGCTCTTTGTGTGCATCACAGTAAAAGATTAATGAAGAAAAAATAATTGCTTGTGGTATTGATAGAGACTTACTACAGTGAGACTATAAAGAGTGATGGATCACTGATTGTGAGAGGAAACCAGCAGGATTGTGGGCAAGTGGTTTGGGAATTTATTCGGTGAGCCGACATTCTTTGTTTGATACGGTGAAAACTCTTTCTGTCTCTATCCATCAGGGAGCGGATGAGCCCGTTCTACTTCAAGTTTCAATTCAGGAATGTGGAATACTCATCGGGCAGGAACAAAACATTCCTGTGTTTTAGAGTGGACACACCAGGAGGCAGTGCAGAGCCACTGAAAGGCTACTTGGAGGATGAACATGCCACAGCCCACGCCGAGGAGGCCTTCTTTCAACAGGTGACTAAAAATCCCTTTTATTGACCTTTAGCCCTACAGTGGTGTGTAGAATGAAAATGCTGCTTTGAGCGGCTGAATGAGATAAACCATAGGTGAGGAAAATAGTTCAGAATCTAACATGTTAAAGAAAAAATATATTATCTCTTTTTAAATTTCTATTAAATTAAAAATGCACAAGCTTGGTTTCACTGCTTAGCACTAAGTTGACAAGTTTCGGTTCATCTTTTAATTGTTTTTAATTAATTTTTGCTAATTGCAATAGACATGTTTTTAGGTAAGAGTTTTAGGTTGACATGCTCTTTTGTCAGTAATCCAGAGATGGTGAGTCATAATGAGGAACTAATAGGGGGAAGACCTTCATAAAAAAAACTCTTATCGGTATTACTAATGTGCCTGACACTTGTTTACCATAGATATGCAATCTTAAAAGGAAATTACGTTTCATTTTAGTCACTCTTGATTATTTATCCAAATAAGAAAAAGAAATGCACCAAATTTGAATATGCCACAAACCTGACATCAATTAAATCCAGTTTTGTTTATTATACATAATTTCACAGGAAACATCAGCTTGGGATTCCTGAAAGTGACCTCAAACTGGAACATACTCTGCAAATATCCAATCTAATCCAGTTCAGTTTAGTTTACTTCAGTCTATTTCAGTATACTCTCATGTTGTATGAACATCTTTTTGAAATTCCACCTTCAGTTATTTTGAAAAAATAAACACACTGAAAGCTATGTAACTCCAATTTAATAAAAACAACATGTGTTTTTTCACACTGAACAAGGAGGAACATTATCTCCTTTTAACAGAATAACACTTCTTACAAAATCAGACTTAAAATGTTTGCTCAACGAACCACTTCCGGTTACAAAACACGATAACAAAAGCAGAAAGACCCAATAATATGTTCACTTCTGACCAATGCTTAATACATTAAGTGAATAGTTATGCTCTGATTGTGAAACCTGCTGACAGTTTGGGCCTTGAGCTGCAACACTTAAGGGAGAATCAAAGAGCATCTAAACAAGGCCAAATATTACATTTTCAATAGTGATAGTTTTAGATTAAGATTAAGTTTAAAAGTGAGAGAATGATAATCTGATAGTTGAATGGTGTTGCCCCCATTTCTAATTTAGGAAACTGTAATGCAAGACCATAAAATGATCCTGCCTAAGCTGCATAGATCATTTAAAGCAGACCTCTTTTTGGGAGATTTAGCATCCTTTTTTCTTGACATCTTTTTATAAACTCCAGGTGTACTGTCCAGTACTGACTGATTTTTTTTATTTCAAAACATGCATGTTTGAATACACAAAACAATAGTGGGGCATGCAAAGTCAGATTCAGTATATTCGAATATTATCCATGATTTTCCACTCATGAAAAATGTAATATCCAAATATTTCCTGTTTTTTTTTTTTCTTTTTTCCCCACGTACAGTTACACAAAACAAAAGGTTTGATCTCTATCAAATCATTTTATTATTTTACATTTTACAAACAAAATCTGTGTCATTTTTTAGGTTCTCCCAAACTCCTCCAAGGAATATGATGTGACATGGTACGTATCATCCAGTCCCTGTGCAGGTTGTGCAGCCAAGCTGGCCAACATCCTCCAGCAGCGCAAGAAGCTACGCCTTTCTATATTCTGCTCCCGTCTCTTTGAGTGGGAGGAACCAGAAATAGTGGAAGGCCTAAAAGCCCTGGTACAGGCCGGCTGCAAACTACGGATGATGAAACCCATTGACTTCCTGCATGTTTGGGAAATGTATGTGGAACAGGAAGGTGAGGTCTTTACACCTTGGGAGGATTGCCAGGAGAACTACGAGTACTATGTGGAGAGACTGTCCGATATTCTGAAGTAGATGTGAGTCATTGTGAAATAAAACAAATTTTTTTTCAATAATTAAGGGAAAAAAAACCTAAGGGAACTTTATGTCTTGTTACTGTTGCAGGTCCATCCTGACTGAACCAGAAAGCAGCCTGCTTTTGAAATGATCACTGTTTGATTTTCTTTATTTGCTCTCACATCTGATGCTGCAGATCAATTTTGAACTGAAAGAGCACATTTTTAAAAAACTTTTTATTTTCAAAAAACGATATACAAAGGTACAAGATTTGTAGATAAATATATCAAACAATTTTCATGTTGTTCCTTTATAAGAGCAAAGCAAATACATTCATCAATTCACCAATAAAAAATAAAAAAAAACTGGAAAAAGTTACACTGACATCTGCTGTCTGTTTGGAGAACTGAAGCAAAAAGTGAAATATAAGCAATGATGCAACTTTACATACAATCTGTTTTACTAGGCTATATATGCAATATACATCTGGATAGTCTCATTAGCCATGTAAAAGTGCTCAATAGGAAAAATAAAACAATTTGCATTAACAACTTATACATGTTCATGTAAGGCGCATAATAGCTGACACTTCAGTTTGAACTGAGCTGGACTAGCAACATGCTGAGGTTTTCTGTGAGCCTCAGTGATGCCACAGATGTATTTAGAATATATTTAACTTCCAGTGAACAACATTTTGAGGTTTGTCTCAACCAAAAGAATGTTGAGGTCATCTCCTGTTCATTGTAGAAAGGAAACCATGGCAGTACCATTTTCTGTTGTCTCTTTTCCATTGGCTGTTACAGCTAAAGAAAAAAAAAAAACATGCAAAAAGAGCAATCAGTAAATTACTTTGTTTTGCAAAGCATTATCATCCTTATCAGAGTGTTTCATTGCAGATTAAAGTACCTTGCTCCTCTGGCGAAGTTATTGGGAGTGGCGTTGTTTCAGTACAGCTTGTAGCATTCTCTTCCCCTTCTGCACAACAGATAAAAAAATGGGTTTAAATCTTGTCAGTTAAAATTTGGAAAATAAAATTTTAGTATAGGTTCATGCTTCGGACTAGTCACCAAGAGATTAGTTCATAATGTTTGTTTTTCTTTTACCTTTTGCGGGTGGATTCACATCTGCATCAGTAATGTACTCAACCAGAGGGCAGGGAGCATCTGCAGAAAAAAAATGGAAAGCAATTTGAACCTAAATGTTTGAAGCGGGTAATAAAATATGAAGCAAACTTAAAAAAGGAAAAAAAAAAGAAACAAAAATATCCTTAAAGTGAATCACAAACTGGGTGGTGTGAAGCATACTGAGAAAAAATGCCTCCACACCCACAAAACCACACGAGGTGGGGTCTGCTTACCATTTCTGTCCTTTAACTGAGCCATGGTGAGAAACAGATTCGCTTCATCTTGCTTATCATCCGCATCAGCTGCAAAGAAATAAAAATTGAATAAAACTTTTGAAATTGTGCAGGAAGCTATTATTTGCCATATTTAAACAGAATCAAGTGCCACATATAACCCTTGAAACAACGTTTGCTCTTCGTCACAACTTCCTGATTTGTTGACTTTGAGCATTTATGGCACAGAGATGCATAATTATAAACTGACTGACTGTAAATCTAAACATAAAACATGCAAATCAACCTTGCCATTTTTTAAAGAGCATTTGTACATCCTCTCCTTTGTGTTCAGCTCATGATGTTAACTGATCGTTGAATGATGAAATTTATAAATAATTAGTTTTAAAAATAGTGTGTTTTAAAGTCACTTATTTATTTGCAGATTTATTTGTATACGACATACTTAGTTTTTTTTCAATGTTTCCTGGCACTAGATTGTGTGTGCAGCTTAAGCTGAAGGGAACTGTAGAAAACTAGCCTTTCTAAACATGCATGCAACACATTAAGAAAGTGTACACTTAAAAATCACAAACCTGGTTTGCGCAAAACTCTCATGACAATGCATCCAATAAAAACAGCTATGATACCAAAGAAAATGCAGCCAGAGATGGAAAGAAGGACTCTCCTCTTTAAAACTAGAAATTGTACATAAAAAAACACAATTAATTAATAAACAAATAATGGGAAGAATTATGAAGTTAAAGCCTGATGACTCAGGTATACGCACGGAGGTTCTTGGTTTTGTAGGAGTCACTACGTTGTGAATATAGTGGTCTCTTGGTGCGTATGCCCTGGCAGATGTACTCGCTCTGATCTGGGTCATTCGAAGGCGTAACAGAATGCGTCGATAAGGACGCCTGATTAAGTTGTTCGCTCTCTTTAAACCTGTTTGAATCGTTTTAGAGAATTGACTACAATTGAAATAAACATATATGAATGGCAACACTGAATAGTAAACATTAAGGATTTGTATTATTACCAGGTGTAGTTCCAATTGTCTTGGCTGCCCACCACTTCACATTGAAGCTTGAGGCTGTCAGTGGAAAAGACCTCAGACCAGGTAGTTAACAGGACTATACTTGCCTTTGGGCGCTCTGGAGAAAACAGGCACAACTATGATATAAAACATTTATAAAGCAGTAAGCTTCGGTATGGAGAATTAAACAAACCTGCAACTGTAAGCTGTACAGCCCGACTCTTCTCTGAGTAAAACAGAGGGGTTTCTTCTCCTCTTCCAACTTGGCATTCATATGATCCAGTCTCAGACGTTGATGCAGAACTGATGTTGTGAGTGATTCTTGTTGGGCTGATGATATTGTTGTCTTTGTACCAAGAGTATTTCCATCCAGAAGAGACATTTACGTGACAAGTGAAGGAGATCGCATCGCCAGTGTGTAGCAATTTGTCGTCTGGATTCTGCAGGAGTGTCACTGTTGGTTTACTGTCTGAAAGTCAACAATAATAGCAAAGTGGATGTAAAATAGAGAGAGAAACCGGGAAGAACAGTGTCTGTGCTTTAAGGGCTCTGTGTGTTTACCTTAGCTCACAACACAAACTAATATAAAATCATAGAAAACAGCATTGTTTAGAGGAAGGAAATGATAAAAGGTTTTGAAAATGTATATAGAAAAAACTGAAATGCATTCAGCTCCGTTAAATCAATCATTTCTAAAAGCAGAATTTCTATAATCCAATCATGCTGCTTGTCTTTAGAGGAATGTCTTTAGATATCAAAAACTTTCCACATCTAGAGAATGGCATTTCTCATTGGATGGAAAACACTCATGTACAGCATTTATCAGATATTGCCCCAGATTCTCCATTAAACTCAACCTTTCTGATAGATGAGGTTTCTTTTGCAGCCTCTAACAGATTGTAATCCATAATTTTCCAACTGTGCCTCCCCCTCTGATGTAGTAAGGCAGCCAGCTATAGAGCTTTTTGTGCCATCTGAACTGTAGACGGTCTTCGAAATATTTCCTTTACATTACTTGGGGGTTAAAAGGTCTTTATCAATATTTTTTTACGATTTACAGATGAAGGACCAAACAGCATCATGGGATGCTGAGAATTCAATTGAGAATAATATCCAAACCCGGCCTTCTTCAAATTCTCCATTGTAGCCCTGAACCTGTTACTCTAGCTACATTACTTTTTTTATGCTGTTAGTTGTTAACCAAGGTTCCCTATCAAATTTAAGAGAGCTCAACAGAATTTTTTTTAGCTATTTTGTGATAAAATTACACAGGTGTTTTCTAAATGCTAAACAGGCGCCTTCTGATCGGTTGCATAGGATTATATTTAGGGGTGTTAGAGCAAACAGCTATCAATACAGAAAAAGTTGCCATATTATAAATCACATATCATTAAGTTTGCTTATGATATGCAAACTTATTGTATTGTAGATCTATACAATACAATAAAGCACAGACAAACAAGTTCCAGGGAGATTTGTTTTCTTTGTATGCAAAATATTGGCTTTCATTTGCAAAATGTATTCATGGCAGTTTTTTCCCCTGTTTTTGGTCTCTGATAATTTTACATAACTCAAAATTGAAAAGAGTAATAATAAATAAAACTCATAATTATAATTCAGTAAGATTATAACTGAGCAAGATTAAATACTGATTTTGAATTTTTGCTTAAAAAAATATGCCAAAGCCTTTTCATTACTTCTCAAATGATGACATCATACAGAAATTTCAAGAGCACGCATCTCACCATAGACATGAAGAGTGGCTTCAGAGCTGCGGATGCTGCGAACAGTCCTGTCCTTTAATTCGCCAGAGCAGCTGTAGTTCCCATGGTGAGAGCCTGAAGCTTTAGTGATAGTTAGAATGCTTCCATCTTCACTTATAGTGACGCTGTTTCCGGCAACGTTCTCTCCATTTTTGAACCATGTAAATATCCATTCAGAGCTTCCTTCCATTTCACAGCCTAGCTCTGCTCTTTCAGAGGGAAACACATCCCACCACTGGGTTTTTCTCTTTAGAACGGGAACAGGAATTTCTAATGGGAAAGAAATAGAGATACAAAAAAAAAAAAAGGATTATTTGACCTATGAATTTAGCGGTTCAGTAAAGCTTTGCTTTACACTTACTCAATAGAGCTACAGAAATAAAAAAGAAAATCATATATTCAGAACTGTTAAGTCAATCTTATGTTATTGAAAGAAAGAAAGAAAAGAAGGAGGCAGAAAGTTAAACATTTACCTACACAACAAAAAAAGAAACTATTTGTACATAAGAAAATCAAAACTCAAAAAGGGCATACATACCTCCATAGGGGTAGAAAAAGTCTTAAGGATAATATAGTTAGTGCTTTGTAATCAAATTAAAAAAACACAACTTAGAAAATAAATATTATTGTATTATTTAGCAAATAGAAATGATTTTGGCAGGTATAACCATCTGAAACAAGAGATGTCTAATTGAATGTCAGAAAATGGGGGCAGTGGTGGTCTAGTGGTTAGGGCATAGCGCTAGGAATCCTGAGGTTTTGAGTTCAAGCCCCAATCCCACAGACTGCCACTCTTAACTCCACACGGCTCCCCAGTTGCTGCACAATAGAAGCCCACTGTCTCCCAATGGGATGAGTGAGTTTCATGATAATTTTATTGTTTCACAATAAAAAGCTGGGGAAAATGGGAGAAAATGTATATATGTTTTTTAAATTGTTTAAAAATATCTAATTTCATCTCTAGCTCATAATTAAAACTGTGGTTTGGAAAACAGTGTATTCTAAGTCACCGAAACCTGCAGTGACTTTTTAATTTATTTTCATTGAAGCTTTTAGATAATTCCATCATTGTATGGTTTGCCTCTTGTTTTCTTCCCTCTTTGAAGCTGTTCACCCCTGTGTTAACTTAACAAGAATGCATTCTCACCATTTCCTGTTTATACTGATTTAACTTCTGTTAATTCCAGCCTGACGACAAATAAACTCTTCTTTCCTAAATAGCTCCACCTACAATGCCTGCAGTGAGGTGTTCCTCAAAGAATCATGCTGACACTACAACATCCTGTTTCAACATAATGGCAACGCATTAAAAGCGGAAGCGCTTTGGTTCACTGAAACAACTGAAACACCCCTTAGAATTCTTAAAGACCAAAACGCAAAAAGGTTTAGTTATAGAATGTTTACTTTATACCTCATTCTCCATGTACCTGTGTATACCACTATGTGCTTACCAGAGACGTGCAGGGAAACAGGATCACTCTTTTCTGTTTTCAGTTGGCCTCTCCTAGCCAAGCATTGATGCTCTCCACTGTTTTCATTAGTCACATCAACTTTTCTTTCCAAACTTTTGCTGGTTGGATCGATTTTGGTACTTCTATGATAAAACTCATATTCCCATCCTGAGGACTCAGTAACCATGCAGCTGAAGGTGACAGATTCTCCAGGATACATGGTAGGGAAGTCTGGGATTCTGGTTAGCTGAGGCTTGGGCTTGTTTTCTGTTAAGAAAGAAGAAATAAAAGGAATAATTCCGGTTTGGTTCCACCAGGCAAAGTTCTTTCCATTTGCCCTGGTAAAGGGAGCGATTGTTGTAACACAAGGAATGCAACCAATTTAGTGTGTCATATGACAGTGTGATGGCCCTTAGCCTGGCTTGCCAGGCCCTTATAATACTCTCAAACCTGCAGGTATTCATTTTGTTTGTCGTCTCCCAGTTATTAAAACTTTTATATTTGGATACAAAAAAAAATCTGTGAATGGTCTTATCCTGGAGGCAAATTTATCTGGCTTAACCTTTGTGTGCAGGGTGTAAAAATGTTCTCTGCTGCTCAAATGTTGACTCAGTTTTTCCTATGATGGTTGCAGACAAAGATAGTGCAGTTCTTCCATTTGAGGCCCTCAAGTTTTTTTTGTGTGTGTGTGTGTGTGTGGCTTCTGACTGCATTTGAAAAAAAAAAATTACATTTTGTCCTGCATCAAACTTGGTGCAGATGGATGGTTTTCCAAAAGATTCAATTTTAATCAAAATCCAGATCTTCTTAAAATTCTGCAATAAAATTAATATCCTACTGTTACAAAGAAACAAGAAATGCTAATATCTTTACCCAAAAAAACAGATTACTCATTAAACTTAATAAACACAGCAAGGTTTTAGCTATGATTTATTTATAATAAACAATCCAGTCAACAAAATTGTTAAATTTGTGTTTCTCTTTTTAAATAAGGTTAATAAGGTATAAGACTTTATTTATTTTTCTAAACTCTAATTTACAGATTGCTTTTTTTTAAATAAATTTGAGTTTTTTGTTTCAATAAAATGATGTGGATCAGGTTAAATTATTATTATATTATTATTGCAATTCTAATTAAGGATAGTATTTTATTCTTTAAATTTATAACATATTTTATCTTGTATTATGTGTTGGACTGCTATCTGTTCCAAATAGTACTTCTGGACATGAAATACATCAATCAACCCTTTTGTTCACTTCAAAGAACATATGACTTGACAATATTAGCTTTCTCTAGTGTTTTCATACAAAACCATTTTAAAGTATCTACAAAGCTATAAACACTGAAACACAAACTCAAGAATGGATTGCTATTAACTGTTTATTAACTCTACTTCAACATGTTTGCAAAGCTGCTTTGTTTTGCACAAATAAACAACTTTTTTATATTATTTTATGTTGGCATGGGTATGTTACTTATAATTTTTTTTGTCTGGGCTTATAATGTAAAGTTGCATTAAAATTGTAACACTGACATGTTACACATTTAGAATGTGAAACTAACACCTTTGAACTGAGTACGTAAGAGCAAGATTGGGGTTACAGCATTTCTGTGTCTTTTACTGAAGCTGAAAAAAAGTCTGCTTGCTTAAGTTGTTTCTATCATTTTAACATTGAACACTAAGAGGTATGCTGTAAATATTTTCAGAAACATTTAGAATCACGGCGCATAATGTAATAAGGTAGTAGGGTGGCTGAACTGTCTTTCCTTAGGTTACATGTGTTGTGCATGACCTCAGGTCGTATGGGCACAGCTTACTGTGGGGTTTTGTCATCAGCTCAGAGAACATTGTGTCTGAGCTGTAGAAATGCTGTATAAACAAGACCCATGGATTTCCCCAAATAATCTGAAGACATATTAATCTGAGTGTTAGTAAACTAATGATATTAAGAAAAGTGAAAAAAGAACTTTCTACTCATTATTTTGACGTTTAGAAAGGAATCCTAACTGACCTAAAATGACCTAAAATTGAAAAGGTTGAGCTTAATTTAATATCAGACCAGCTGTGCCTTTAATAGAGTAAACATATAATTTTAATCAGTAAATCAAACGACAGAAATATATCACTAAAAGGGCTTTTTCAACAACACCAATGACTGAAAAGCAAAGCATTATTCTTATTTCGTCTTTGCTTTTATCAATAAGTTTCAGCTGTTAAATAAAATAAAGAACTTTATATTTAAGAAGCTTTAAAATAACCTCACATAAAAGCCTAAATATAAAAATAAAATAAAATACTCAGAAAAATGGGGAACAACAGGCGGGTATAATGGAACATAAAATGAGGAACTAATGGCCTTCCCTTTAACAGTACAGTAAAGCACATCTAATATGTTATTACTTTTTTTATCTGTTTGGCGGAACATCGTGTAGGCTTTTGTAACTTTATATTTTAACAGCCTATTTTATTTTCAGCTATTTTTAGAAGAGAGTTTGCATTGTATTGTTTATGGCAATAATGTTTTCATAACTATCATTTCATCATTCAGTCTGACCTTGCAAACAGATTCCTTACAACAATCAGACTTATTTCTGCATCTCTAAGATACCTTCTGTAGGTGACATTCCTGTAGTCATGTCACCAGCTGCAGTGCAGCTTTAAGGAGTATTCTAAAAACAACATATTGTAGTTTGTTCATTTTTTTAATATTAATGTTAAACGAAAGCAATAAAAACTTACCATACACAGTGATAACTATTGTGTCACTTGATGCAGAAGAGACTCCTCTGGGTTTAATTTCAGCTTTGCATGTATATACCCCTTTGTCATCTTTTGTGACAGAATCAATATTGAGAGCTGATCCCTCTGTTTCTAGTTTCTTTTGGTCTTTGTACCAGGTGAGTGTCCATATGGAGTCTGGCCCTGTACAGCTGAATCTCAACTTTTCCGTTTTAAACACATCAGTCCAGGAGGTCTCCAGCTTTATAATCGGGGTAGGTGGTTCTGAAAGGGTGCATTCAGAAGATGTTTGCAGATTAAAGGCTACACAAACTCATGTAATCACAGCTATTTCAAAGAATATTCTTTTATTATAATGCATAAAGACATTGCGACAGATTGAGCATACATGGGAGCTTACCAGCAACTTTTACTGATACATCATTACTTGTATAGAGTTGACCTCCTCTTCTCTTGACTTTGCATTGGTATTGGCCATTGCTGGAATGAGTCAGTGGGGCTGCTTTATAATTATTAATGGTGGATTCATGAATTTTACTCCCATTCTGATACCACTCATATGTCCAACTAGAGGGCACATCGACATTGCATTTGAAGTTAATCAATTCTTTAGGGTACCATGTTTCAAAGGCTGGGCTTGATGTTAGAGAGACCTTTGGGTTTTCTATTTGAAAAGAATAGAGAAAAGGAAGCATTTTAAAACAAGTTGTTAATGAAGAAGTGCTAAGACAGGGGGAAAAAAAGAGAAAATAAAGCATCATCATGAGTTTTAGATTTCACTTTAAGTTACTGACAGGAGAGCTTGTTCACAAGACATGAAGGACCTGTGGTCTCATTGCTTAGGATCCATACTAAAAGCGAATGCATGCCACACAGCCAAAAATGGAGTAAAGCAAATCAAAAAATAAGCCGAAAA